TTTACCATTTTAACCATTTTTATTTTTATTTTTATTTATATTTATTTATTTATTTATTTATTTATTTATTTATTTATTTATTTATTTGAGACAGAGTCTCACTTTGTTGCCCAGGCTAGAGTGAGTGCCGTGGCATCAGCCTAGCTCACAGCAACCTCAAATTCCTGGGCTCAAGAGATCCTCCTGTCTCAGCCTCCCTAGCAGCTGGGACTACAGGCATGTGCCACCATGCCTGGCTCATTTTTTCTATATATATTAGTTGGCCAATTAATTTCTTTCTATTTATAGTAGAGATGGTGTCTCACTCTTGCTCAGGCTGGTTTCGAACTCCATTTTAACCATTTTTAAATGTACAGTTCTGTGGCATCAAGTGCATTCACATTGTTATGCAACCATTGCCACCTTCCATCTCCAGAACTTTTTCATCTTCCTCAACTGAAACTCGGTGCTCATTAGACAATAATACCCCATGACCCCTCCCCTCCCCCCAGCCCCTGGCAGCCACCATTCTATGTCCCATCTCTATGAACTTGACTACTCTAGTAACCCCGTATAAGTGAAATCATACAACACGTGTCCTTTAATGACTTAGCATAATGCCCTCCAGGTGCATCCATGTTGTCGCATATGTCAGAACTTCTTTTTTAAGGCAGCATAATATTCCATTGCATGTACATTTCGTTTACCCCTTCATCTGTCGATGGCCACTCCGGCTGCTTCTACTTATTGGCCATTGTGAATAAGGCTGCTATGAACATGGGTATACAAGTGTCTGTCTGAGTCCCTGCTTTCGCTTTTTTGGGGTAACTACTTAAAGTGGAATTGCTGGATCAACTCCAGTAGGATTTTATACCAAGGACAATGGATGGCCGATGGAGGCGGCATGGGGAGTGTGGCATTCTTGCTTTACTAGGCCCCTGGGGCTGGGGTGAGGGGTTCTGATTGCAGGGGAGAGAGATGGAGACCTGGTTGCAAGGGTCCAGGTGAGAGATGGCAGCAGCTTCAAGCTTCCAGTGTGGCCGGGGAGGCCATATGGCGCCGCATATGAGTAAACAAACGATTGCAAATAATGATAAGTTCCGCAAACTAAACGGCGAGGAACTGGGTGCCATGATTATGGTGGGGGGAGAAGCATCTCTCTGGCATTCTTTATACTGTTTGCCTGACTCACAATCTACCAGCCTAGCGATGCTCGAAATCCAAATCCTGCATTTACATTCCAAATGACTTTGTTGTCAGCCAAGTGGGTTCGGTGCAGAGGTCAGAGGTCCTGGTTCTCAGGGTGTTTGTTTTTGTACAAGAGCCTCAGATGGGGAGAAACGGGTTCGGAGAGAAGGTAAACGGAATGGTTTGAGTCTGGGGCTGAAAGAGTCGCACGGAGAGGCTTGGTGGTCAGGGTCAGAGCTGAGCCTTATTCCTGCCGCATCCCAGCTGTGGGATCCAGGACAAGTTACCTCATCCCTCTAACCCCCAGTTTCTGTTCTTGGAAAATGGTAGACTTACTGTTTGGTCTGTCATCCACTTCCTTCTTTGTGTCGTTCACTGCTGTGTCTACAGCACCTAATACAGCATTGGGCACACAGTAGGCACTCTGTAAATATTTTTATCTTAATTTAGTTTCTATTTTAAAGTTTTTAATCAAGGTATAAACTTCATTGGCCGGGCGCAGTGGCTCACGCCTGTAATCCTAGCACTCTGGGAGGTCGAAGAGGGAGGATCGCTCCCTCTTCAACTTGCTCAGGAGTTCGAAACCAGCCTGAGCAAGAGCGAGACCCCGTCTCTACTATAAATAGAAAGAAACTATTTGGCCAACTAAAAATATATAGAAAAAATTAGCCGGGCACATGGTGGCACATGCCTGTAGTCACAGCTGCTAGGGAGGCTGAGGCAGGAGGATCTCTTGAGCCCAGGCGTTTGAGGTTGCTGTGAGCTAGGCTGACACCATGGCACTCTAGCCCAGGCAACAGAGTGAGACTCTGTCTCAAAAAAAAAGGTATAGGCCGGGCGCAGTGGCTCACGCCTGTAATCCTAGCTCTCTGGGAGGCTGAGGCAGGCGGATTGCTCGAGGTCAGGAGTTCGAAACCAGCCTGAGCAAGAGCGAGACCCCGTCTCTACTATAAATAGAAAGAAATTAATTGGCCAACTAATATATATACAAAAAATTAGCCAGGCATGGTAGCGAATGCCTGTAGTCCCAGCTACTTGGGAGGCTGAGGCAGGAGGATTGCTTGAGCCAGGAGTTTGAGGTTGCTGTGAGCTAGGCTGACGCCATGGCACTCACTCTAGCCTGGGCAACAAAGCGAGACTCTGTCTCAAAACAAAACCAAACCAAAAAAAAAAAAAAAAGGTATAAACTTCAAAAAACAAACTATAGCAACCTGAAGTGTCCAGCTCCATGAATTTTAAAATATGTATATGTTTGTGTGTATGTCTATAAATATAAGTAAAAAAACCCAAGTAACTACCATCAGGTCAAGTTATAGAACACTTCCATCTCCCAAGCAGATTTCCTCCCTAATCAATAACCCCTAACGATAACCATTATTCTAACTTCAATCAACATATATTAGTTTTCCCTATTCTTGAACACCATAAAAATGGGATCATGAAAAATGAGCCCTTTTGTGTCTGGGCTCTTTTGCTTTTTATTATGTTTTGTGGGATTCATCCATATTGTTGCTATCATGAACATTTTGTAGATTTTTTTTGGTGGACCCAAGCACTCCTTTCTCTTGGAGAGGAGTAGAATTGCTGTGTCACTGTGTAGTTGCATGTTTAACTTTAGTAGAAATGACCAGTTTTAAAATTTTTCTTTTTATTTAGTCTGGTGGATGCGTGATGGTGTTTCACTGGGGTTTTATTTGAATTTCCCTTGTATGACTAATGATGATGTTGAACATCTTTTCATATTATTGCTTGCTCAATAAATATTTGTTGAAAGGATGAATAAAGAGTTGGACAAAAATGGAAAGAAATCTACCTGCCTCTTGCCCTGCCTAAAATCCATCAGAGCTCCCCATCGCCCCTCCCCTGGCCGACAGGATCTTGCATGCTCTGGCCACTTCTGATGCCTCCTGCCCCAGATGGAATCTTTTTTCTTTCCTCTCAGATTTCTTCCACCTAAGCTGTCTTCAGTTTCCTCCAAGAACCTTCTCTGCTTCGTGGCTTTTCCATAAGCTGCTTCCTTCAGCCCTGAACATGACCCAGGCCTCAGGAACCCAGACATATTGCTTGTACCCCAGCTCAAAAGCCCTTTCCTCCAGGAAGCCTTCCCGGACTTCTACCCTAGCAGGCCTGGATCCCGTTAGGCCCTCTTACGTCTACTTTTTTTTCTTTGTAGTTATCACCACAGTTGTAAATACCCTTTTCTTCATGCAATTATTTCATTAATATCTGCTGCCCTACCATAAAAACACATTTAAAAAAAACCAACACTTTAAGCTCCCATAAGAGCTGCAACTTTGTCTTGTTCCTAGCAAGACACCAGCATCTAGTAAATGCTCAATAAATATCTGTTGGCTGTAGAAATATCCAAGCACCAGCACAATGAGCATTATGACCTGAAAGTAATTACCCTTTAGAAACTCACTCACTGTGAGGAGGACCTGAGCCCATAAAAATAAATCACAGAAAACAATCCTGTCTCCCACCCTCCTTCCCTCACTAGGTCCTTTGGAGGGTCTCACATTCACTGTTCCTGTTTCATTTTGGTGCAGCTGTTGCGTGTGTGCATGTGTTATGGAATCCACACATCAGGCAGGGGATTAAAGAGCAGAGGAGAAAGGCAAGGCATTGCTGGTGTCCCAGTGAAAGCTGAGACGCTCAGCTCCTGTGTGGCTGCCTGTGTATTGAACAGTTCTGAGGCAACATGGCGCAATGGTTAGCACCATGGATTTCCAACCCCCCCCCCCAGACTATCTGGGTTCAAAGTTTCGTTTAGTCACTTACCATCTAAATAATCACTGACAAATTATTCTCTCTCTCTCCTGGCCTCAGTTTCCTCATCTGCAAAATGGGGATAGTAATAGCACTTATCTCATGGGGCTTTAAGGATTACAAGAATTAATTCACATAAATTGCTAAGAACACAGCTAAGAAGCTGCCTGACTGTGAATGCCTGCTAATTATTATGTCTCTAGGCCTCAGTGTCACTACCTCTGAGGTTAGAATCAATAACCTGGTTGTTTCCTGAAGGTGAGAAGTGGAGGCGCTTTGCACACACTGTGAGGGCAACAGCTTTTTGGGATGGAGGTGGCAGCCCTCCAGCCATGAGTGCTCTGGAGTCACGGGTTTGAATCCACTTCCACTCCTTGCTACACTGTGTGACCTTGGGCAAGTCACTTCACCTTCTCTGAACCTCAGTTTCCCCATCTGGAAAGGGTAGACTATCACGAGTAGCCACCTCCTCCTGTCTGTGTCAGCTTTGGAGTCAGCTACCTCGGTTCAAATCCCGGCCCTGCTGGTTGTTAGCCAAGTGACCCTGGAAAACCACTCCACCTGTCTGCACCTGGTTTTCCTCCATCACGAACGGGGAGTAACAGAGAGATCGACTGAGGACACAGCTAAGGCGCTGGCCCCCTCCAGGCGCGCAGGGGGCGGCTCGCGTGATTTTCCCCAACAGGATTTCAAAACGGGCCTGACCCGGGGTCTGACGCAAAGATCGCCGCGGCCTCTGCAGGGCGCGCGACCCTCCCCGGCCCTGTGATCCTTTTTCTGTTCCGTCTGCTGGCGCGCTGCTCGTTTGTTTTTGGTGGGTGTGCGCGCGGGTTGTGGCCCCGGTATTTACGGCCGTGCTGTTCTTTTTGGGTCTCTATGTTCGCTGCGGAGGCAGCGGACGGGCGCCGCAGGGCCCTGGCGGCGCCGGGCCGTGGGTGCAGCCCGCCCTCCTCACTGCCGCTGCCCACGCCCGCTGCGCGCGCGGAGCCGGGCCCGGGGGGCGGGCCGCCGCTCCGCCGTGACGCGCCGGCAACCAGGCGGCGTTGCGGCCCCGGCTCCCCGCCCCCCGCGCCGCCCTCCCGCGCCGCGCCGCCGCCGCCAGCAGCCGGGCCCGTCCGCCGCGCCCGGTGCCCCCCTCGGTGCCGCCCGCCGCATGGCGCTCCGGGGCTTCTGCAGCGCCGATGGCTCCGACCCCGTCTGGGTACGTGCTGGGCGGCCGCGGGCCGGGCCGGCGGGAGCGGCCGGCGGCGGGGAGTGAGCCGGCCCGCGGGGAGCGCCGGGCCGCAGCCTCCCGGGGCGTCCGGGTCCCACTTCGGCAGCCGGCCGGGGCTCGCACCCCCACGCTCGCGGCCCGGCCCCTTCGGGGGCACAGCGGATGGGGCGGAAACTTGGGGGACTCAGTTCCCGGGGAGCAGGGCGTGCGGGGGACATGTGCCCAGCCCTGGGGTTCGGAGCGGGGGTCAGGGGCCGGAGCCCGGGGAGGAGGCCTGCCTGCTCCGGGGTTCCCTCCGGCTACAGACAGCCTTCCCAGGAAGGGGACGCTGGAGACGGGGGCAGGAGAGGGAAGCGTCTCCTGCTTCTGTTCGCCCATCTTCGTAGGCTGGGGTGCCCCCTTTCGCAAAAACACCCCATTGCCCAGGGGGTGACCTGGGAGGGGCTCAGAGTGTGGGAAGGGACTTGCCACTGAGTGCCCCCCTCCAGCAGTTTTACATCCACGTTACTCCCCTGCGGTTACCTACCTTTGTCTTTCTCTTTCTTCCTAAATAATCCGGGGGAAGTTTGGGGGAACAGGGGAGGAGGGCGGGGGGCGGGCCTGGGAAGAAGGACGTGTCCCGCCCCACCTTCATGTCGCGTTTGGGGTGCAGCTGAGGGTGCCTGGGACCCTGGTACCCGTGGTTGTGCCCTCGCACCCCTGTAACACCTGAGGCTCCTCTCTGGGGATGTCTTAGAGGTCTACCCCTGCAGATTTTCTTCTGAAATGTTGAGTGCCCAATCTGGCTGGGTGTCCAGAGTCCACTTTCTGTGGTCTCATCCCCGGTGTTGTGGGTTTTAGCCTCACTCTAATGCGATTTGTCCCTTTGTTCCAGGAGGGCACTTCTGTGTCATGCTATTTTGATTATTGGTAAACACAGTAGGCAAATCTGGACACGGTCATTTTCTCCCTTCTGCTTAGGCATCAGGGGAAACACCCTTGGCTCTTAGGAGCTGGTGACTAGCATCCCAGAATACACTCTTGTCCTGTGTGTGGTTCTTTCCTTGAAGGCTGCATTTGGAATGTTGGAAAGTCACTTCTGCAGGGCCCCTACTGGAATGCTTTATTTTTGAGGGATATCATTTCGTTGAACCACCAACCCCACTTAAATGCCTCCCATTTGTAGGCCAGTGGGCTCAGAGATTTACTCCAGATCTATAAATAGCACAGAAGCTGTGCATTCAGGGATGATTGGAGCCTCTCCGCAGGTGGGCCCTCTTTAGCAGAGAGGAAAACCTGTGGATCTTCTGCCTGTACCAGATCGAGTAACAAGAAGATTATTTTTGCAAGGATCCATGTGGGTGATCTGGGCTAGCATTGCAGTGAATTCTGGAGTATTTCCTTGTTTATTTTCTACTCCTAAATTAAGGGGAGGAGAAAAATAGGTGACCATAAATGAGATTTTGTATCAGGATGTATTTTATTGATGGCAACTGGCTGTTGGTGGCTAATGAGTATGTTTGGGGTGCCCTTTGTTTATTTAACTTAAACTAATCCAAGAAGTCCAGATGTGGTTTTTTCCCTCCTTCCAAGGACTCTGTGATATAAGATTTGTGAGTTAATTTTTAAAAAATGCTTTTTAATATGTTTCATGCCCAGTGTAGGAAAGCAGGGAAAAGTCTAGAAAACCCAACCCAGGTGGTTTGGGTTTTGCTTGGGGATGTTGACCTTTATCTCTGGCAAGTCCCCCTGTTGTCCCCCAATCTTTTTGGCCTTGCATATGTCCTCTGTCCCTCCTCCCTCTGGATTGCTGGACCTGCTGGATGCTCCAGTTTCTGGGGGTGTCCTGGAACCAGAATTTGAGAGCAGGCAGCTGAAGCATGAGCAGGAGAATCCGACTGTAATTTATAGAAAGCAAGTGGCTTCTGTGTTTTCAAAGGGAGCGTGCTCAAGGCCAGGACAGACTGTGTGACCTTGAGTAAGCCACTCTGCTTCCCTGTGCCTCAGTTTCCTCATCTGTGAAATGGGGCAGGGGCCAAAAACTAACTCAACCTCCTAAGGTGGTTGTGAAGAATGAATAAGTTAATCTTTGTAAGCAGCTCAGCCTGTGCCCTGCACAGAGATCAACAATGGTTCTTATTCTTTCCAAAGATGATGTGTGTTTCAAGTTCCTTGTCCTTCCTTTGGTCACACTTTTTCTTCAGCTAGTGGAGTCTGCCCACCCCAATCCTGCCTGGCTCCTTTTGTGACCAAGGTCATGTGCTTAGAAATCAAGGTTATTGGGCCTCGTGTGACTCTGTCTGGGCTTTGTTCCTGGGTCAGCCTGCCTCTGAGCCCCAGGAAATGTCCGGAAAAACCAGAATGTGGAAATGGTCCACGGTGAGGGTTCTGTTGACTTATCACCTGTACCCAGGCAATGCTCTGGATGAGAAAAGAGGAACTTTGTTATTTACGTGGAAAACAGGGGCTGGGTTCTGCTGCACTGGGCTTTCTTTTTCCATTGGGGGTGAGAGGCTGGCAGGAGGGGCTGTTTTGTGGCTATTTCAATGATGGCTGGAAAATGGGCCTTTCTTTGCAAGTTAATTTTTTGTTTTACTTTTCATGTTCTTAAGACTTTATAAGTGAAGAGATTTGCAAATTAATTTTTTTTTTTTTTTTTTTTGAGACAGAGCTTCACTCTGTCACCCAGGCTGGAGTGCAGTGGCATCATCACAGCTCATTACAACCTCAAACTCCTGGGCTCCAGTGATCCTCCTGCCTCAGCCACCCGAGTAGCTGGGGCTACAAGCTTATGCCACCACACCCGGCTAAGTTTTCTATTTTTTTTTTTTTTTTTTTTTTTTTGTATAGATGAGGTCTCATTATGCTACTCAGGCTGGTCTCAAATTCCTGGCCTCAAGAGATCCTCCTGCCTCGGCTTCCCAGAGTGCTAGGATTACAGGCGTGAGCCACCATGCCTGGCCTACAAGTTAATTTGAAAAAAAATGCTTATGAATGTGTTTCATGCCCAGTGTTGAAAAATTGGAAAATATGAAAAAGTGGAGGAAAAACCTCAGCAATGTAGTGTGGTGGCTCAGAGCAAGTGTTCCCATTCCCTGGATTCAAGTCTGGCTCTGCAGCTTAAGCGAGTCACTGCTTCTCTGTGTGTCTCAGTTTCCCCATGTGGGATGGCGCAGTACCCAGCAAATAGCAGTGGCTTGAGGGACAACCAGACGAATCCTTGGCAAGTGCTTAGCATATTGCTGCCTGGCACGGAGGTAACACTGGGTAAATGTCAGTGGTCATCACCGCCTGGAATTCTCTAGTTCGTTTTTGCTGCTGCACCTGCTGTCAGGTGTCGCAGCGAGTTGGTTCTGAGGCTGTTTGCCCCGAAATGCTCTGTGCCATTCTCCAACTCAGTAAGCCCCTGAATATTTGATTTCGCTGCCAAGAGGAATATCTTAGAAGCTATTAGAAATTCCTCTTGGGGTTAGGCCTGGCCTTGGAGTCAGTCTAATTCCTGCCTTAATTCCTCCCCTCGGCGCCACAGCACTCCATGAAGAGCCAGTTTTTTCCCCTCCTCCAAGTGCTGTTGTGGTTTTCAAACTCGTCCCTTTGCCTTCTTCCCCCTCCTCTCTCCTTCCCCCGTTTGTCCACCCGTCCATCTGAGCCCCTCACTGCCTTGCGGATGATGAGAGCTGAAAGGGAACTGGTGGGGTCTGCTCACCCCGCCTCGTGGATGTGGCGACAGGGCCCCGAGTGAAAGGCGAACAGCTCTGGGAGGAGGCGCGGGTGGGCTTTGAGGGGCCTGAGCAGGGTGCCCGAGGTTGCCTTTGGCCTCGCAGCACTTGGCCGAGACCCTCCCAGGGTTTGGGTTCTGCCTGCCCTGAGGACCAGCTCCTTTGGTGACAGTCTTCGGGGTGCCCTGCCTTTGTGGACTCAACTTTCAGGAACCCATCTCTCCACCCACGCATCTCATGGGTGTCTCCAACTTACCGTGTCCCCAGAGGAACTGGGCTCCCCTTCCCCTGCCCACCCCATCTCAGTTAACTGCAGGGCAGTTCCATCCTCATGGACACTCTGGCCAATGACCGACCGCATCGGCCTTGACTCCTCTGTCCCTCCCACTCCGTATCTGATCTGTCGGCACATCCTGCTGCCCGTGCCTTCGAAATGTATCCAACTCCGCCTGCTTCTCACGGCCTCCCCAGCAACCATCGGCCCATGTGATTCCGGGATTGGAACAGTAGCTGCTTCGCTGCTCTCCCGCTCCTGCCCTGACCCTGCAGTCTAGTTTCAGCCCAGCAGCCAGAGGGACTCTTAAAATGCAGGTCAGAGGCCAGGTGCAGTGGCTCACTCACACCTGTAATCCCAGCACTGTGGGAGCCTGAGGTGGGAAGATTGCTTGAGCCAGGAGTCTCAAGCAATGCCACTTCCTCCAACCTGGGTGACAGAGCAAGACGCTGTCGCAACAAAACAAAACACAGTTGGAGCCTGTCCCTCTTGTTCTAAAACTGTGCAGTGGCACAGTGTTTCTCTCAGGGTAAAAGCCAAAGGGCTCCTAATGGCCTCCAAGGCCTGGCAGCATGTGTCTCCATCACCTCTCTGACTTCCTTGCTGCCTTCTGTCTCACTGTGCTCCTGCCACACCTGCCTCGGGGCCTTTGCACTTGCGGTTTCCACTGCCCAGAGTGCTCCCTGACTTTCAAATCTTGTCAGAAGTCACCTCAGGCATCCCTTCCCTGACCCCCGGCCACCTCCCTGCGCTCCCATTTCTCTGCTCCCCACCTATCCGCCATCCCCCCTGCCAGCACTTACTGCCTTCTAATACACAGATATTTTATCTATCGTGTCTGCTCTGCGTATACTTCCACCAAAGGGTCAACTCCACAGGGACGGGGATTTTTGCCTGTGTGTGTTTACAGCCGTAATCCCAGCACCTAGAACCGTGCCTGGTGCTCGGTAAATACAGTGGACCCTTGGGCAGCGTGAGGGTTAGGGGTGCCAACCCCCTCACCCCCCCCACACACA